CGTGGTTTTGGGCCGTTGGATGTCTCTGGAATTTTGATTAATAAACGTCGGTATTATTTGACAAGTAATTAAAGATATTCTGGTTTATCCAGCTGAAGATATGAGCAAGTTTTAAATATGTAAAGCAAGATGTGTTTAAAAGCTGTAGTATATCGTAAATATATATCGTTCAACGAAAATACACTGAATGTAGATTAACAAAGTTCTTTTAATTTTTCAAGAAAGCCTACTGTACAGCCAAGCCAATTCTATTTACAACTACGCATAGGCTGATGAAAAGCTATGATGACATGAAATGATTGTTCATGGAAAAGAGTGCTGTATTACGATCTTGTATGAAGGCATTCTAATTATTTACCTGCAATTTTTTCTTTCGTGGTGAGAACCAGAAGTTGGAGTTTAAGTCCTGAGCAGAAATCCAAGATGGCGTCGGACAAAGTGCTCTCGTCCACTGTAACATGAACGGCCTGGAAGTAGCCTTCTTTTACCCCGGAGATCTTACCGCCATTTGCCTTAAAATAGAATAAAGGTGTGTAAACTACCATAGAATAAATCCACGGCAAACTGCATTATTATTATTATTGTTATTATGATTGATATGTTTACATACTATGGAGACATCCCGTAAAATCCATTGTAATCGATGAAAAGCAACTCCTTGTTAATTATATTTTAGGATAGAATACTTTAATTGATTTTTTCGATCGAATACTAATTCTATTTATATCTGAAAAATGTTACCTCAGAATTCTGGAATCTTTTTTCATCATTTGCCAGGTCTTGTGTTTTCATTTTCTCAGGCATGTCCCGGATGTAGCAGGACTTGTCGTCTGAGAAACGAAGAGCAGTCTTTTTCTGGAAATCAAAACAGTTTGATCGTTATTGTCGAAACAAAAAACTAAAAAAGTATTTTTTGTTTTTGTTGTTATTTAAGTTGTTATTGAACTATACATCACTAAATGAACATGAATTAACTGCTTACATGCCGGCTGATGACAAATGATGATGTGAGGATCTTCAAATGAATAGAACAATTAACTTACGACATTGTAATCATGGAGGACAAAAGTCTCAGATTGTCCGTTGCTGGGAAGAGAGTGGAGAGCCTCCAGTTTGTCAGTGGTGCTGATCTCTACTTGCTGGTTAAACTCGGTATTTCTGTCTGTGTAGGTGACATGATAAGCCTTAAAGTAAGTGAAGAAAGAGAAAAACACATCATGAAATTTGGCGTTGAGCTGTTGACCATTAGAAAGATGCGAAGACAAGAAACATATCGACTTCTATATTAGTTTTGCATTTTAATCTTATCGATATTGTGTCTTAGAGTAATGTTAATGTCAAAAATGACCTGAAGTTGAATAAAAACACATGGCGACAAAGGTATAAATAACTCATGATCATATAAGCTGCATATGATATATTTACTGATCATATGATTATATGTATCCAACACTGATTCTACTTAATAAACTTCACAAACTTTGATAACCCATTAAAATCACAAATTTCTCTTTCTCTAGGTGATACTGCCTTTTCACGCCAGATATTCTTTTCTTTTCGTAATATTTTCATTGAAACCATATGAAATTTTAAACAGAAAGAAACCCTACTCAAAACCTCTTCAAAATGCTTTATTGAATACACCACCGTGAATATCTTCCGTAAATTCCCCCTACCTTCATAAGCTCGACTGTGGCTCTCTGTGTGAAGTGTACGGCCAGCAGTGTGCCTGTCACTGCTAACGCAATC